GGATTATTTCAAACAACGAATCAGCTTTCAAGAGCACCAAGATCAATAACTTCATCAAACAACTCGGGATAGATTGGAGATATTCTACGAGCTACTACCCTAGAGCGAACGGCCTAGCCGAAGCTTTCAACAAGATGCTCATACTAATTTTAAAGAAAACACTAGACAAAAGCAAAAGAGGATGGCATGAGAAATTATTAGAAGCTTTGTGGGCCTATAGAACGATGTTCAGAATTCCTACTCAATCTACAACATATGCGCTCATGTATGATTTTGAGGTCGTACTTCCATTAGAGTTTCAGTTGCCTTCTCTCAGAGTTGCGGTCATTAACTAGATTACAACAAAAGACAATGTCAAGCTCAGACTTGTAGAATTAGAGAGTCTCAAAGCTAAGCGGTTAATGGAGCAACAGAATTTGGAACTATACCAGACAAAGATGATCCAGGCCCACGGCAAGCTAGTTCGCCCAAGTACGTTCAAAGTTGGTAACCTCGTCCTTGTTCTCATAAGGCCTATTCTTGTACACCGCAAGATAGGTGGAAATTTTGAACCAACTTAGGAGGGACCATTCGTGGTGGAGAAAGTTTACTCCAAAGGGTCATACCATCTAGTAGATTCTCAAGGCGAAAGACCCATGTTTCTGATCAATGGACAATATTTGAAGAGTTATTACAAAATGTAATGTTTTGAAAGACGATACCTATTTTGAGAATAGCTATATGGCCAATGTCTGTGTCTGGGTCCAAAGAAAATTTGTAATAAATTTTGGTGAAACAAGATTAATTTTCATAAAATAAAATTTGCACATCTAAGTTTCTTATTCGAATCTTCAATTTTGCAAAGTCAAATTAAATAAATTGTTTGCATATGTACAATTTAAAATTCACTTACTAATGAACTGTTATTATTCTTGTTTGTTCAAATTTCACTAAGCTGGCGTTTCTCCCATTTTATATAGGAAGATATTAGGTCAGAAGTTGATCTTCGCTTTCAAAGACTGCTTGAACCTCGCACTAGATGAGGAGAAAGTGGTGAAGGGTGGCATCATAAACTTAGACATGAACTTTGGACAGGACGATGTAGACTATGAGGGCCCTCTGATGAACATAGTCAGTCAAAGAGAGACAGATGGATTAAGAAGTCATTAATCAAAATTAGCACAAGGGAGGATTCATCATCAATGGGGAAGAAGTTAGAGAAATTTCAAAACCTGATGGAGAGGATCAGCCACATACAGTCCATGATTATGACGTTGATAGGGGACTTAATCGATGTTGCTTTGGAAAGAGTCCCAGATGCAACACTAAAACACATGCAGCATAGGAACACTAATCATCGCAAACACCAGGATTTAGATCGACTGGAGAGAAGGCGTGCCAGAGAGGTAGCCAAAAAGCTCACTCAAATTCTCAAAGAAGTTCTCCACCATACTTTGAAAGTGAATTTCACCAGTGCCTCAGTTACAGAAGACGAGTCAGAGAGCCCCTTAGAGCCTCCGCCCCTAGAGAGTCTTGATGCACTAAAAATATATGCATTTTTAGACATATATTTATACTCCTTTTTGGTGATATTGCACTTTAAAGGAAGGTACTTTGCTTGTTTTTGGCTTCAGGTACAAGAAATGGACTTTTTGGTGGGTACAAGAAATGGACTTTTGGTAAAAAAAAAGTAAAAACGGTATAATTTGGAGCTAAAACGAGTAAGAAAGAAAATTTTGGCCTTACACATTTCGATATGTCTTTCATGCTTAATCTACTTCTCACTTCTCACATATTTTTAAATGAAATTACACTTTAAAGAAAGGTTGTTTTCATGCTTCTTTTGTAGGTCTATCTGTTAGGAAAGCAATGCAACTAAAACGGGGTGAAATAGAGCTAAAATAGAGCCAAGCAGAGCGAAAAAGTGGATTTGTTGCAGACCGGAGCCGACGGTGCACAGGATGATTATGGACTGATTTTTGGCGGTTTTGGATGTTTTAGAAGGCTCCCAAGTGATTCAAACTCCCCATGAAGTGATTAAATGTATCTAGACACTTGGAAGGCTCTTAAATGAAGGGATGTGTCTCTTGGAGTTAATAAGTGGTTTTTAATGAAGAGATGTGTCTTTTGTAGTGATTCAATGAATCTAGACACTTGGAGTGAAGATGTGTATCTCTTGAAGTGAACCTCTTGGGAAAAAGGAGGGATTTTGTGCCTTCTTAAAAAAGAGGGGCTAGCGCCTCTCATATTGGGGGGGTGTGAGTGTGTGTGTGTGTGTGTGTGTGTGTGTGCGTGTGTGTAAATGCAGAGTAAAGTCTTGTTTGTGGAGATGATTTTCTTAAAGAATTGTAAGATGAGAGGAAAGGAGAGAGGTTTTTTCTCTATTACATTTCTAAGAGAGAATTCAGTGTTGATTGTAAAGAGAGAAAGTGCTTCAAAGTAACTTCAAGAGATTTGCTTGAGGAGGAGATTAAGATAAGTTGTGTTCTTTCATTTATTTATTTTGTAAACTTGTTTATATATATATAATCCGTTCTGAGATATGGTGAAATGAAGAGATAATTTGGATGTGTCAATTTTAAAATAAAAAATAAATTGTGATGATTTTTTTGGTGATGATTTTTCCACTTTGTTCTTAATTTATTATTTGATTTGGCCAATTAAAATGTTAACATCTGTTGTGAAATATACTGTCCGGAAAATAGACTATGAGTTCTACAACAAAGTAAGAATCACAAAGAGTGTTTCGTTCATAGAATTGAGTGCAAATAAATAGGGATATATATATATATATATATTACTCGGCAAAAAATTAGAGATTTTAGGGTGACAAACTAAAATCCTCAATTTGGTTTTAGTGTTTAAGAACTAAAGCGAGAGTTAGCCCTCAGGAAAAGGGAAGTGAGAGCTTTGGAGTGAGAGCCAATATCCTCCCAACCTAACCACGAATTTAGAGACTAAACCTTAGATTAACTAATGATTCTCTATAACACTTGACCGAGGGTAGAAAATTAAAACTTCTCATATTTAGCACTGTACAAATTCAAACCATTTATCTTTATCATTAACCAAAAATTCATTGTAAAAATTCATTGTAGTGGGAAGCTTTCTTAACTTTGAACTCTTCGTCACAAAACTTTGTTTAGTCTTAGTAAATTTAACTTTAAAGTTTAGAAATTAATTTAGTAAACTTAGTTTCGTTAGCATACATTAAAACCACTTTAATCAACCTTCCAAACTAATTGCTTATAGTAGTAGCCTAAAATTAGCCTAAGGGATTTCTTACCTCGCTTCTTCGTGGGATTGATGTTGGGGTTTTTTAAGAAAGCTCTATATTCCTTGAAGCGATATGTGCACTTGCCTAGAACCACTAGTGAGTGAACTATTTTATATATTGTATATAACATTTCAATTTTATACATTAATTACTTAATATAAATTAGGTCAATTTATTGGTCATATTTTTTAAAACTAAATTACTGCGTAAATTCGGGTCGAGTCATGTTTTTTGCACTGTCCTGAGGACTTAAATTGACATAAAACACGCAGAAAAATAGCACACACTAAGGGCCATTAAGTCTACTTGACGAGCTTTGCGCAGAATGTCCAACATGCAAAGCAGATATACCGAGATAGACATCATTAGCAGGAGCATTAATGGAGTGCCCATAATGTATTGTTCTCCATTTGGAGAATTACAGAACTTTTGAGGAGTATACAGCAGCCTCGATGATCTTCAAAAGAGCGGAGCACCCCGATGTAGAGATGTACATACCTTGGTTTGTCGAGTGATCTTCAAAAGAGCGGAGCACCCCGATGTAGAGACGTACATACCTTGGTCCACAACAGCCATTGATTGCTTCAAGAGATGAGCCAAAGGAGCAGCCTGACAGTTGCAGATGATTCTTAGGTCTGAGATGGAAAAGATACACAGGGTCTGAAACCAAGAGTTCGAGCATTATGTTGAAATCCAAGGAAACTTTGTCAATATTCTATAAGAACTTGAGTTGGTATATGAAATTGATGAAAAGAAGATTCTCGACTGCGTTTTTTATTTAAAAGACAAAGGTCGAGCCAGACTTTTAAAGAAGAAGATATATTCAGAAGCACATAAATGGATGCAAGGAAATGGTAGGATAATCATCTAGTGTGATTGTTGTTACGACTTTGCAAAGAACAGGGAGAACCCCCATGAATTTTGAGACATGATGAAGTGGATCCCATGCCCTCCATAATAAATAGGATAATTAAGAGAATGGTGGCATGGCGTGTTCTGCTAGTAGATTGCATTCCAAACCGCTGCATCATTAAGATTTTTGAAGAAGGAGATTGTATTCTACCGCATATTGATCATCATGATCTTATCAGAATGTTTTATACCTTGTCATTCATGACCAAGAGCAACATTCTATTTAGGAATGAGATACAGATCATCGACCCCAGGGAATTTGGAGGACTTGTAGAGACCCCTCTGCCGGTAGGATCAGCGTTGATTTTAAAAGAAAATGGAGCAGATCTTGCAATGCACTGTATCTCTGGAGTTCTACGAACAATAATTTTAATTACATTATGAAGGATGGACGATAGCAAAGTTTAGAATGGGTATCAGCCAGACCCGAACATAGAGGGACTCCGACCGCTTGAACTGTGAGATAGTTTTAGTTACATTGTGCTCAATACCCTTGTTATTCTTATCCATGCATAAAGCTCGCTCCCTGCCTCAAAATCATTAAGGGTAAGACTCATTACCCCTTAAATGTCCGACGTCAAGCTTGCTTTGAAGAGTGTTCCTTCAATTTCTTGTTATTAAGTTCCTGAAATACCCTCGCATTGCTTCATAACCCCTCATCTAGAACCAATACACCTCAGGGATCCCAACCTCCAAGCCTCATCCTATAAGAACGTTTCATCTCCTTTACTTGACCAATACTCCTGATTTATACCAATAATTTTAAGAAAAAAGTATTTTAATTTAATTTTATTTTTTTACAAGCAACAGGTATATTATCCAACGGGCAACATAGATAAATAAAAAAGCTTGCATTGGAAAATGCAAGCATCATTTGCTTAATAATATACAAATATTTTTTACAACAATATGCACAACATAAAAATGTTTATCAAATACAACGTACGCAAGCTCACCTCCAGGCATCATCCTGAAAAGATTAAAAGGTGCTAAAAATAGCATTTGGAGGGGTACGGTACAATATAAGTTATACAGTAGATTGTTTGTGTGATGCTCTGTGCAGAAGGTTCAGAATTCTGACTTCAGAATCTTTATTCTAGGCGTGATATGAATATAATCGAAAGGATTTTCCTGCTCCACTTGAACGTAATCTCGTGTTTTCAGGACCTGCAGCAATTAAAACGATAAAGAAAATCTTACTTGTGATTTTTCCCCCATTTTCTTTTGTGCCAAAAAATACAAATCATAAATTTGATGCAGGAGAAATTTGCCAACTAAATCAGATGTCATCCACTTTAATCAAATCAAGCTGATTACATTGCGTTTATGCAAAGTGGCAAGAAAATTGCAAATCCTTCTGACATCTAAAATATTCATGCAAAATATTGTTTGCCAATATTGAACTTAGTGAACGCAGCTGGCACTTGTAAATTTAAAAATCTAAAGGAAAATTTAAAAAAAAAAAATCAGCAAGACCAAACAGTTCAATTGCAAAAAAATAATTATTGCGCAATGTTTAATGACTAGACGTACCAAGGTTTCAAAGAACATTCTTGATGCTTCTTTACGAGTTTTACCAGATAATAGACGATTTATCACAATGGATTTCCTCCCTTGCCCGGATTCTTCATCAAATAAATTTTTAAGATACCTTGCCACGCCCCTACAAATATGATTTATACAAAATTGCAAATTTAATGAGATTCTGCAGTTTACAGTACCTGATGACAAACTTTATAACTACAAAATAAGCTTCTGATGCACGATTGCTAGGTTTTAGTGTAAAGATAAGTCAAAAGTCAAATTATAGAAAGTATTAGATTAAGGACAACCTTGTGCGAGCAGACCAACCACTATTCTCCAGTGATTGAGCGTCCTCAGGATATGCATCATCATTTTCTGCTTCGTCATAGTCTGCATCATCATCGTCTTCATTTAAAAACCCTGGCAGACAGTAAATTGTGCCAAATCAGAGAAACAGCAAGCAGTAGTAAATTGTCATTTCAAGATGCATTAAAACAAAAATAAGATGCTAGCCGGTTAAGTGAAGTTCTGTAACATAAATCATCAGTTTAAACACTTGGAATTAAATTTAAGAAAATAATAATAAAGAGAGTCTACAGTTTGGTTGGATGAACATAACTAATAAAACATGTTTAAAAAGAATTATCACGCATGAATTACCTTGGTGAAAAAAACAATAAAAAATTATTTCTACCAGATTACTGTAAAGAAAAAAAATAAAAACTGATTCAAAGCAATATCCTGTCAATCTGAATTAATGATTGAAAACAATGGCAGAGAACTTCAAAAAAATCATTGAATCAGGCAGCCACACAATTTTGAGTTTTGGCAAAGGCAAAAGGCTATAGATAACTCCGTTGACTCGGGCAGTAAAGAGCCCACAAATTTGAGTTTCTACGAACAAAAGGAAAATAAACATGAATCGAACGAAAGATTAAAGATCATGTAGATGTAAAAAACTTTTGATCCTACGACGCCTTGGCAATCCACAGCCCATCAAGCTAACACCTCCATGGAGCCATGTGCTCAGCCAACTTGGAATTCCAGCACCCTTTTAGCTGCCAGAAGCAGTACGCCAACCACTATTTCCATATGGAATAATTTTTTGAAGTCTCGTTTGATTAAAATTAACTGGATCAATTATTTTCCAATTTTTTCCTCATTATGGAACATGTTTCTTCTATAAATAATAAACTTATTTTACCAATTATAAAAAGAAAATCTGTAGTATTCTTATATTTTTCATATGATATCAAGGAATTGTAATCAACAATTTGTTTGTCTATTAAAAAACAATTTAGGTATGGCTGATTCAAGAACAAAGAGGAAACATATAAAATTAAAATTTGGATCTAGCACTCCTTGTCATATATTTTTTATTGTGGTAAGGAGACGAATGGAGGTATATCTCAAGTCAAGGAGTATCTTATTGGTCCTTCCAATTTGTCAAAAAGAATTAATGTTATCAAAAATATAAGAAAGGATCTTTGGAAGGAAAAGTTACTTGCTTATCAAGGAGTAAGAAAAACTAAAAAAATTGCTTATAGAGACCAATGAAAAGATGGGTAATAAAATTGAAGAAAATATAGTCAACTGCTTTTGAACTGTGGTAAAATAGCTTTTGAATCAAGTTCTAAAACAGAGAGTATAAGCATATCTAAAATAAGAAGTTCAAGCATATCTAAAATAAAAAGTTCAATACAGAATTTTTTATACAAGAACCTCAAAAAGAAGTTGTTAGAAGAAATGATATGAGACAGGTGGGAATTAAAAAAATTTGTAAAAGAGTATCAAAAAAAGAACTATAAAATACATTGCTAAGCGGTTTTATCAAGCAAAAATCCATTTTAATGAAGCGAAGCTGGAGAGTGCAATTGAGGCGATTGCTTGATATGGACCAAGTTTTTGACCATGAACTTGTCATGAGTAACGAGTTCCTCTACTTGACAAAGAATTGCAATCAACTATGAATGATATGGAAGATCACAAAAAAAAATTGGGAAGTGATGAGGCGTATTTTTATGTCTAATAGATGGATTGATAACAGAGAGCAATCTATAATTAATTTTTTAGTTAATTCACCTTCACGTACTATATTATTGTAGTCCATAGATTCAGCTGAATATTCAAAAAACTGCAATGAAACTTTTTGAACTTTTAGATGCACAAATAGAAAGAATTTGAGAAACAAATGTGCTTCAAGTGGCTCCAGATAATCACTCCAGTCATATTCCTACAGGTTTATAATTTATTTTATTCATTAGCATATGCATATATAATTTATTTTTCTTTGAATTAAGGAATGTCAATACATTTTTTATTTAAGTGAAATATTAAGGGAAAAAAGGAAAATGTATTAATCTTATGAGTACATTGGAAAGATGGGTGAAGTGAAAAATACAATCCAAAACGATTTGATGTTAACATGCTACACATACAATCATGGACTCGTTCTTAACTTGATGAGGAAATATACTAGTGGTGAAGAATTGGTGAGAAGGGATATCACTTATTTCGCACCTTTATTTCTCTGCCTTACTGGCATATATAAACAAAAATAAATAAATTTAAAACATATGTTTGTTTTAGGATATTAGGATATATCCAGATTTAGAGTTGACTATAAAGAAAAAAAGACTAGGGAGATTTTCCTTAAGACTAGCTTTTTGAATGGCATGTATTACACCTTAAAGGTTATAAATTCAATTATGAATATGTTAAGATTAGTATATTATGATATGCGACCTGCAATAAGTTGTATTTACGATGCAATGGACAAAATCAATGATCCACTTAGTGGTGCATTTAGAGGAGAAGAAAAGAATGAGAAAAATTTTAGTATCTCTAAAAAGAGATGGAGGTGCCAACTTCTGCAGTCATTACATTAAACAAGATATTATCTTAATTCAGATATTTTTTATAAAAATAAATTTAAGATACAATCAGATGCACAATTGCTAGAAAGCATATATGTAGTTATCATCAAACTAGTAGAAGATCAAAATGAAAGAATGATAATAGATCAAGAAAATTTTATTTATAATCACACTAATGATCTTTTTGCAACTGAATATGCCACCCGCAATAGAGATAAAAAAGCTCCAGATATAATTGATTAAAACTCATACTTTATTTTCAATATTTAATTAAATATTCTTTGTTTAATATGACACTATTTATAACACTGATGTAGTGGGAGATGTATGATGCAACAACCCCAACATTACAAGAATTGGTTGTTAAATTTTAGGATAGATTCGCAAATGATGCTAGTTGAGAGAGAAATTGAAGCGTCTTCAAACAGGTTAATAATTTATAAAATTTAAACATATTAAATAATTTATATTTTTATGCATTCATTTTTTTATATTTTTTACTGATTATCCATTTAAAATTAAAACCATCTACACCAACCCATAAACAATTCAATTACTAGAAATAGGAGGGTCTTGAATACCTTTAATCTTCAAAATGAAAATACATAGTGATGGATCATGAACTCGACTGCCTCTGACCATATGAAAGAGGAAAGCCACCATATGTTAAATTCTTCATCCATGTTTATAGGATTATACAATCAAAATTACTAATGAGCCAACATCATAAATAACTAGCATTAAAACTACCAAATGTCATGAATTCTCTAGTTCTTAACTCGAATTTCTTTGTTCCTAAGCCTTCTTGCAAGTATATTATCAATCAGCAAAATTATCGAGAATATGAATATACTACTAATTTTCTTTCTACTCCATGTGAATTCCAAGATAGGAACATAGAAAAGATAATTTGTAAGGCAAAGAAAAATGTTGTCCTCCACCACCGAAGCTATAAAAAAAAAATCCTGAAAGGAAAGAGAAAAATGATTGATCTATATCTTCTTCTAACAAAAGCACAATCATGTTGTTCTGCTTTTACCTTAAGGTACCTAAAAAATTTATTTACATGTACTTTCAAAGGGACTCCCTTGGGGCTTTCTGAAGGCTTACCTATTCCCAGAATTCATTGCAAATTTCAAGGGGTGTCAGTCATTTTCAATATGTTAAGAAGTCCAAAGATGTGATTATTTATATACACTACCATTGAAAAAATAGTTTGTTATTCTATTCAAACAAAATATCGACGTTAAAATTAAAAACTGACCATTCATTTTTTGATTATTTCTTTCTATTTTTACTACAATTAAAAAAAGCAATTAAATACTCGTAAAAAATACTGCTTTGAATTTGATTATAACAGGTAATGATAAATGTTTGATCACTAAAAACATGTTAGTGAAATATTGTAGATTATGTTGACCTCATTTTTGTGAGATCTTTCTTTCCTCTACATAGAGCCTAGAATCTAGCCATAGGACTTTCCTATCGATTATCTTAGAGGACTAGAACTGAGACTCGCACCTTTTAGAATTTCGAACCACTTTCTCATTCTCTTGTGATATCTCGCCTGAGTGGCCTCAAATCATCACCATTTGATCGAGTGGTTGTGTTCTCGAACCATCATCATTTGGTCGAGTGGTTAAGGACCATCATGTGGAGGCCCATAGAGAGATCCCCATCCATAGAGAGATCCCGTAGGGTTTAAAAGCCTTAGGACATCTATAATGACTTTAATACATTCGCACACAGATATTATAGTTTGCGTCACTTACACCTGTAAAGGCTTCACAATTGATCGAAACATAAGTTTATTTTTGAAATGACCGATCAATAACCCGAAATTTGAAGACAAATCGAATTTGACACATTTTGGACCCGATCGTCGGAATGACCCCGGATGTCCAGAAAGTCAATTTTACCTAAGAATGACACACATATTGTTATAATTCCACACACTAACAAATTGCACGCAAATCGATGAACTTGTCTGAATGACCTTGGATGAAGAAACAGACTGCGCTGACGCGTACGGAACGTCGAAATTACCTAGAAAAGACATTCATTTGCTAGGGTTCCGAGCACAAATAAATCACACGCTAATATACTTAAATAATTTAATATAATAAAACAAAAAAAAATAAAAAATAAAAAAGAAAATCCTACTTAATCCCTACTCACGCACGCAGACTCGTAGCTTTTGCGCTGCTCTCCCGCTCGTGATTCTTCACGTCCGAGCCTGATTCTTCCTCTCCAGTGATCGACCGCACTCGGACTTGACCTAGCTCAGGAGCCTGCTCACGCGACTCTTCCTCTTCTTCGCAGGCCGCTCGACCGAGCAGCTCTCCGACGGTGAAACTCCACCTGGCCGACTATTCCTTTCCTCTAGGCCGCCTGTTCTTTCTCCCTAAATGCTCCTCCTCCTCTCCCATCATCCCATTCGACCACCTTGGGGCTGGTAGGTGGTGGTTTATTCCTTCCTTGCCTATAAAAAACCTCATCTGGGGAGGTCTTTAGGGTTGGCCGAAATTTCTGGAGAGAGGGAGG